GTAAAATTTTTAATTACGCTTTTGAAAGTTTTATATGAGATTTTCTTATATATTAGTATGCAGGCTAAATTCTCATAATGCTATTAAATTAGTTAAAATCTCATTAAATTTTCAAAAAAAAAAAAAAGTAATACATGTTTTTGTGAAAATTTTCAAAAAAAAAAAATTCGACTTGGCGAATATGAGTTAAGCGAAACTTTCGTTATGTCGGATTTTTTGAAAATGTCTTGCATCGAGATTTCGAGACTTATCAAATGTTTTGTTTGGGAGCTTGTTTTTGCTTATGAAGGTTGCGTTTGGGAGAAGAAAGTAAAGTGTGATCAATTTAAGATTCTCAACATTCGAATGGGCGATGTAATTATCAATAAATAACTACACAACAGCCTTCTAATGCAAAGGTTCTAACGTTGTTTTCTCTAACCCACTCCTCAAATAGTCTAGAGGTTTCAAATTGTGCTTTTCAAAACAAACCGAACCTATCTGCAATAAATATATTACACAAGTTTTAACGAGAAAATATGGTCAGCAAAGTTGCTTCCCTCCAAGAAGCCGTCATTTTGTTAGTAATATATTGACCTTCTCAAAATAAGAATATCACAAGTTACGATTTGTGTGTGTGTTATTTTGCCTTTAAAAAATAGCTAAGTAATACCAGCAAATTGTTACCTTTTGCTTCAACGGAATTGAAGTGACAATGTAACAAGTTAACTACTAGAACTATCAGATTGATCTGATTGTCCTAGTAGTTAACTTTCTCCCAAAGAGAAAGTTATGCAAAGTGGTTTCAAGGTTTGTTTCATCTAAACGGTATAGCTTGATAAACAAATTTCCGTCCTTACAAGTTTCACAAAGATTATCTTTTTTCTCGTCACACACTAAAGGTATTTCGTGAAGCATGCGAATAAAGAGGACTTTTTATATCAATGTAATGTAATGATTTTTGTTTTTTTGTTCTTTTCTTTAATAGAATTTGAACCAAACATTTGACTTTATTATACTTGTCTTTCTCTGGCGTTGAACATTTTAGAGGCATTTTATTTACTTTCAATGTAATTAAATTGATTATGTGATATATTTTTCAAAGGTTACTTTTTGTAAGAATTCAATAAAAATGTAAACAAAAAAGTTTCAGAATAACAAAGCAAAAAAATTTAAGAAAAACTAAACAACCTGGTGCTAGTAAAAAGACAAATTTGAATTTTTCATAATCATTCATTTTTATAGCCTTTTTTGATAAGTAATCTATAAATATTTAATAACATTCTTGCGTTAGAATGAAAAATGTTACTAATTGTGTGTCGGTGTGGCATGTTGCAGAGTGAAAAACTTAAAGCAGATCAAATACAAATATCTCAATGAATGACAACTAAATTAATATAAAGCTTTCGCAATTTGAAAAGCAAGATCTTAATCTATATTCTGCCTCAGGAAAAATAAAGATATATATTTTAAAAAATCAATAAAAATATATAAAAAATAAGTTTTTTTTTTCTAATTTGAATTTCATGCTATATTTTACTCTACAATGTTTTTATTTCCAAAGATATCGTTGGCTTAGCAAAGAAACAGCCACAAATAGTCTCATCTAGTCTTATCTAATCCAAACTAGCGTCTGTTATTGACCAATATTTTTGCGTACTACTCAAGTGCGGAGTTGGTAGCCGGATTTGATTTCGTATCGCACAACAGTCCAGTTTTTAACATAAACAGGTTTTGACGCTCTAACCAACTGAGTTTTCTAAATGATTAACTAAAAATATTTTTAAATTTTAAGTTTAAAATATATTTATAAAGTTTAAGTATCAATTCCTACATTTATTTGAAAATTAGTAATAAGTCTTTAGATGGTGCAAACATTTAACTTTGAATGATTAGTTTCTTATTTTCTAGAAACGGAAAAAATTCAATTAAACCTTTTCATACAATGTGGAATGGCCGAGATAGAGGATATATCATATTTTATTCAAAATTACAAATAATATTTTGTAAGCAATTTAGACCTTCAGCTGTATAAAAGATTTTTGAATACCTTTTACAAAGACTTACTAGATTTCAAATTACATGTTTGCAAGACCTATTCGTAAAGAATGCCACGATCTTTATACAAAGCAAAAGAAAACAATTTTAACTTAATTAAATTTGTTTAAGATATTTGGGTGTATACGAAAACAGCACCGAACCAACACCGGAGTATAAAAAACAATTTTAGAAGAGCGAAATATGCATAAGTTACATTCGTAAAACATATATGCAATAAAAATTAATACGGAAAAAAAAAAATCGAAAAATTTAAATTTTTATAACAATTGTGCACCTACAAGTAAAAATATGTATTTTAAGACAAAATTTTAGAGCATACGTGTATCTCATTTACGCGCGCGCACCCTCATCGCATATTAATGTTTTCGATTTTTTGAAAAAAGAATTAATTTTAATAAGTTTTATGTGTTCTTGAACTTTACAAAAAGCGATAGGTTTTTTTACAAGATTAATAAGTTATTTGCATCTACACTCCACTGCGCCTGTCCCTATTTTAGTCAGTCGATGTATGGAGACTTCACTGCGCCTGTCCCTATTTTATTCATGAATACTCTACAGCGCCTGTCCCTATTTTTAACTTAAAGTTAAATTTTTTATTTATATAAACCTTTGTTGTATATGTGTATCACAAATATAGCTTACGCATGTTTCGCTCTACTAAAATTGTTTATTATACTCCGGTGGTCTGGGTCCGGTGGTCCGGCAGTATTCGTATACACCGGACATATTTTGCGGTTTTTGGCTTTAATTTTAACAAAATGCAATGAATAATTAATAAAATAATTTGTAAACTTTTTATACAATCGATATCGTCGGTATACAAGAGAAATGCATTAAGTCCATTTTTGGCAGTATGGAGTTATTTATGCATTTAGTATTTTAAATTCTCTATTGTTTGATATACCACACAAATTTAATAAATCAATTATTAATGACTTATTAAGATTTTTCATTTTAACTATTACACAAAAACTTATTTTAACTATTACGCAAAAACTTATTTGTTCATTATCTTAAAATTATGTTTTCAGACTTAGAGCATTTCCCTTGTATACCGACGATTTTTGTAACTAATAATAAGTAACCTTATTTTTGTTAATAATTTATATAATTTTGTTATTTTTTTTTTTTAATTATAATACTTTAAAAACTATCCAACAAATATGCTACTAAAAAAATCTATTTTGTTTTTACTATATTTTTTATAACTATTATAAGTCAGGGTTAGGGTTAATTATTTACATTTTTATTTATACTTATTTAAGTTTAATATTTTGATATAAATATATTTTTATACATTTATTTGAATTATTTCCATTTAACTATTACAAACAATGATTTATATTATGTATTTAAAGAAATAATTATAATTCATATGTATTTAAAAAAATACTAAATTTTCATTTCATTCATTCTCAATGCACTTGTTTCATCAGGTATTTATATAGATATTAAAATCTCCCCCACACCTTTTTCTTTTTTTTTTAAAATAATAATTGGGCAGATGTTTATTTCAGCCACCCTTTTAAGTAAGTCTGTAAAAATGTTTATGCAAAATGAATTTTAATGAAAACCATACCCTAACCCTTAGGATCAGGGTTTGGTTAGGTTTTTAACCTTTAGGGTTAGATTCAGATGGTTAGAGTATAGTTTTAAATGATACTTGTTTTGTGTAAAAAGAAAAACTTTTTCACATACTTGCTAAAAGGTGTGCCTGAAATACACATTCGCAAATAATTGAACGGTGCACTTAGAAAAAGAAGAACTTTAAAACATGTTAATTCATGAAATATTCAACACTAGCAATGATGATGCTTAAAAAAAGCTAATAAACCTACTTACAACTTATAATCAAATGCAAATCTAACCTTTTTACAACATCTGAAGAACACCACAGCATAAGCATACCATTGTGTTGTTAAAAGATTTGGTAAAATATGATCTATGCTAATATAATGCTTTTAACAGATTAGAGGTCCTAAAAAGGACCAGTCAAATCGTCATATTGGAATTTCTGCTTTCTGTGTACCAGCAAATAGAATAGAACTTGTGTAAATTAAACTTGATATGTTGAATTATTTGTATAAGCTGCTTACTATATTGAACAACAACTTTTTTCCATATTATGCACATTATAGTTCGTTCACATCTTTTTTTACTTTATAACTAATCAACTTCGCTATGCAATCTTTAATGTCTATTGCAGCCTCTTTTGTAACATTGCACTTAATTCTCAGAAAATTCCATTGTAAATATATAAAAAATGTCAATATAAAAAATCTGTTTAAAAGTCATAAATGTTTGACATAAGCAAAAATGCCAAAAAATAAATAAAACTTAATATTGTTTACAACAATACTTTTAAAATAAAGAAAAAAGTGTTTGATTAAGTTATTAAATTTTCATGCTAAAAAGTGTTTTTAGTGAAAAATAAGATTTTAATTTAGTCACAAGTCAAATACTTATGTAAGAAAGAAATAGCTGTCAAAATAGTCAGTCAAAAAAATAAGAAAAAACTAAATCTCTTAAACAGTATAAACAAAATTCCTTATATTTGAGTAAATTTATCTATGATGGCATATTAAAAAATAAAGTGGTTATATAAACACACACATTTATTTATTTAGAATTGATACTATCATAGAAAAATTTATTCAATAATTCTAAAAAAAAACAAGCAAGGAAATATACAAAAATTTTGCACTCAATAACATTTATTAAAAGAAGTTTACCATATGACTATCTGATAATAAAGGTTATTGGTTGTGTCCTTGCCTGCATTAATTTATAACTGTATGAACAAATACTATACCGTAATTCTATATACAAACGAAGCAAAATAAAATTGCTTATCTCAAAAAGAACCGTATGTCAAACGTATTAAAACTATGTATGAACTGCAAAGGCAACTTTGTAACAAGTATCGCAGAGATAAATACTTATCAGCTATCTATAGAGGATTAACCAGATACTTTAAGAATTTGCCGTAAATGAGAAGTCATAGCATGAAGAGCAACTTGCTCTAACTGAGAAGATACCAACCAACTCATTGGTGGCATTGGCAAAACACAAGCTGCTGGTGGACTACTAAATTTAGCACCAGCATAAGGGTATAAACTTTCATCGTCTGAACTTAAAGGAGTGCGATTGCCAGACTGCATTGATATCGGAGAACTACTTTGAGATCTATAATTTTCAGAACTCCACTTTAAATATGAAGGAGGAGAATCTCTACCGATGAGAGAACGCGTAATTGAACTCTGGCTTCCATCACTTTTTAAAGACCGAGATCTCGGCCTCTTTGTTTGTTTTACACTCGTATTTCTTCCATACATTTTATTTAGTGCTAAACATCTGAACTTTTCCTTCTTTATTCTAACGATTTCTTTTATTTATTTTTATAAGATACGAACACCTTGGCAGCGAAACTAACTCTAATCTTTGCTCCGAAAAACAACACAGCTATAAAAAAAAAATTTCTTGAAATTAGAAACGAACATCACCTGATAAATAGACCAATTAAAGTAAAGATTATTTTCACGTGATAAAACTCTATTGTTCGTAACCGAAAATGGCGGAAAAAAAGCTATACGCTCTGTGCTTCTATTGACAACAATTATACGGGGGATTTATATAATAAATATTAGTTTTAAATCTAAACTTTATCATTAATAATTACTTTTATTTAAAAAAACACAAAATTATTTTTAAATTTATTATTTAAAAACATACTTTAACAATATATTAAAAATAAAAGTCATTTGTTTTTAAAGCTATAAAAATAAAAAAGTTCCCGTTAATAAATAATCTTTTCAGTAAAACAGAAAACTGTTTTTTTGCATTTGCTTGAATCGTCTGCTAAACAAACATAAACAAAATTTTAAAAAATAGCTGTGATCTTAACTGTATGAAAATGTCTTTCTCAATAGCATTTCCTAGAATATTAAAATACTTGAGTTTGTTGTTCACAAACTGCAATTGCTGAAAACGACTAATTTCCTTTTTTAATATATTATTTTTTACTTTAAAGACCCTCCTCCGTATCTTTTAGTGCACATTTAAACTATTTTTCAAAACAATTAAAGAATGATTCTTAACTCTTACTTATTCTAGAAAGTTTAATAGATTTATTGTGAACGTTTGGTCTTCACAAGTTAACATTTACTTTACAAGTAAACTTTTGAACTAACATACAAGTTCTTAAGTGTCTCAAGGCAGTGGCGGAATCAGGATAGGGCAAGCAACCCCCACGCCCCCTAACAGGGCCGACAACACGGGTTTTGAAGTGGGGGACACAATCATCAATTTGTGATAAAAGTCCTCTATATCTTTGAAAATTATTTTTTTGAAAAAAAAAAAAAAAGGTCCTCTAGAAAAAAAGTGGGAAGGCGGCACGTGCCCACTGGCCCTGCCCAAGATGATCAACTGGCGCCACCTAAAGCATTCAGTTTTGCTCTTTATAGAAATTCTCATTACAAAACCCTGAATTGATTTTAAACTGAAACAAACTACGCAACAATAAACCATCGTTTACACCGTTTACACCGTTTTTCAACAAGGTTGCAAGCAACCACTAATTAGTGTTGGAAGTTACTGGAAGAGAAAAGATGAAGATTGTAGAGCAAGATAACGATTGACAGACGACTTAAAATATTGCAAATTATATGAATCAGGAAAGCAAGATGAAGGAAGCGAATTCCAAAGAACTGATGTTCGAGGGAAAAAACTAGACGAATAAGAGTTTTTGGAGCACTTAGGAACAGTAACAGAAAAAGGATGAGACTTAATTGAATGACGAGTAACACGAGAATGAATTTTAGTAGATGGCACAAGAGACGCTAGCTCTTTAGAGCAGTGCCCATTATAGTATTTGTAGAAAAGAGAAAGAGAAGCAACATTAGACGATGTGACAGAGGTTGAAGGTTGGCTGCAAAAGCAGGTCCAACTATGTTTATAATGCGTTTTTGCACTTTGTCTAAAAGAGAAAGGGCATCATTAGAAGATCCGCCCCAGATATGGCAACAGTATTCCATACAAGGCCGGATTTGAGATTTATAGAGATGGAGAATAGAATCCAGAGTAAGAAAGTGACGAGCTCGATAAAGAGAAGCAACTTTAGCAGATGCTAATTTTGCAACATATGTTTGATATAAGGTTTCCAAGAAAGATCAGAAGTAAGAGTTAATCCTAGAAGATGCAGGGTAGGAGACTCATCGAGTACATTACCGTTCATAAATATAGGAAGGTTTAAATTATTGCGATAACGATTGGCCAAAAAAAATTGAGTTTTATCTGAATTAAAGTTCACCAGCCACTGTGAGCCCCATGCTGTAGCAGAAGTGAGATCCTTTTCGAGCTCAGATGCCCCCTTCAAGCAATCAGAGGGAGTTGGCTTCTTATCGTGACAAGAATAAATGGTAGTATCATCAGCGAACAATGCCACCTTAGATGTGAGAATATCTGGAAGATCGTTTATGTAAATTAAAAAGAGTATAGGGCCAAGGATTGAACCTTGGGGAACCCCTGAGGTTACAGAATAAGAAGAAGAGTGCTGTCCATCAAGGACAACTTTTATAATACGATTGGAAAGGAAAGATTCAATAATCTTAAAGATGTTTCCAGATACACCATAAGAAGAAAACTTATGGAGGAGACCAGCATGCCAAACTTTATCAAACGCTTTAGAAATGTCAAAAGCAATGGCCTTAACCTCTCCACCTTTATCTAATGCGCGATAAAACCTATCGGTTATTACTGATAGCAAATCAGCCGTAGAACGAGAAGATCAAAATCCATACTGATGATCAGAAAGTAGGTTATGAGATTCGAGATGAGAGATTAAGTGTTTGTTAATTAAAGATTCAAAAACCTTGCTTATGATAGGAAGAAGACTAATGGGACGGTAGTTAGATGAGTTTTCCAGAATTTTTAAAAATACTCCATAATATATAATAAATTTACTTATTATAAATTTACTTACATAAATTTACTTACATAACATATAATAAATTTACTCCAGAATTTTTAAAAATAGGGATAACAGATGCTGCTTTCTAGCAGGCCGGAAAACAAGACTCTGATAAGCACTTGTTGAATAGTTTTGAAAAGATAGACGACAGCTCAGGAGAACACTTCTGCAAGACTATAACAGGTATGTTGTCCGGGCCGCAAGCTGTAGAAGAGTCTAAGCGGGAAATAACTTTAGATACAGAAGCTGGAGTGATACGAATGTCAAACAATGGATCAATCTGTTTGATGGGTATATCAGGTAAAACGCAACTAGTGGCACCAAGAGATGATATTGATGAAAAGTTCTTGGCAAACAATTCAGCTTTGTCTTTAGGTGAGGTGAGAAAGTCTGAACCGTACAAAAGAGGTGGAATTGCAGACTTGCCCTTATTATTGATACTATTAAAGATTCTCCAGAAGTCACGAGAGAATAATTTTTGTGATGAAATACGAGATTTCATGATCTGAGAATAGCGGGTTTTGGCGTTAGACAAAACCTTTTTACAATGGTTCCTAGCAGTAATAAAGAGACGTCTGTTTTCTGGAGAATTGTTTTGCTGATAGATATGAAAGTAATGGTTTCGATTGGCAATTGCAGCAGCACAATGTGCGGAAAACCATGGAGAAGAGTGAGGCTTGACCTGGAATCGTCGAGAGGAAATAAAGGATTCCATGCCAGCCTGAATCCACGAAGTTATGTAAAAAGCACATTTGTCAACAGGGAGACGAAAGATTTCTACCCAGGGGCCATCACGAAGAAAGTCACGAAAAGAGTCCCAGTCAGCTTTAAGGTAGTTGTAAGATGTACGATGATAGGGGGATTCTAATGTTGAAGAAGGATGAGATAATAGTTTTAGAGAGACGAAACCATGATCAGACGCACCTAAGGGTGAGTGTGAAGAAACTGAACACTGACTAGGATCAAAAACAAGACAAAAAAAAAAAAATAAGTCGAGTAGAGAAGGTAAATGATTCGGGTTGTCTGGAAAGCGAGTTGGAAAGTTGACTATTTGAGTTAGGGATTGAGAAAGACAAAAGTTGTGGGCCTTAATGCCTGCAGAGTCACTGACACTAGAGCCAAGCCATTCAGTGTGATGAACATTAAAGTCACCGACAACAACAATATTGGCTGATGGATGAAGAATGAGGGCTTGGTCAATATAACCAGAAATAACATCAAGAAGAGTGCAGTCTTGGGATGAGGGAGAGCGATATAGAACAAAGAGAAAGGTGATAGAGTGAAGTGGTGCTAAACGAAAGCACATAAAAGAGTAGTCTGTGGATTCAAACCTAGTTTCCCGACAAATGGGTGAATTTACGAATGTAAATGCCCAGGCCAAGCATGTGACTATTGGAGTCTTTAAGAATTAAAGGAAGATAACCATCAACACTAAGATCACAAGATGAGACAGCTGAACTCAAATTAGTCTCACAAAGAGCAAGCAGGTCTGGTGAACTTTGCAAGAGATAAGACTCAACAGAAGAAAAGTTACTTCGAAGACCACGAATATTGGTGAATGATAGGTTTAGCGAACTTGGTGATGACTGTGGTTTTTTGTGTTTTATCGTTTTTGTTACTTTATTTATTTTAAATTTGTTAAAGAACTTGACTCGAAACAATGATAGTACTCAGTACACTGTTCTAAAGCTCAAGCAATTGCCTCTTTTTTACTAATAAACCCTAAGCCGTAACAAAGGGCTCCAATGTGGCCTTGGCAATGCACACCAAAAGTACAAACAGGGACACCATCCATGCGCAACATGGCACTGAAAAATATCAGTACTCTGATATTTTTCAGCTGTTGATGGAATCAGCCTCTCTGAGAGCTACCACAGAGTTCAGGAAACCTGACTACCAGCTGGCCTCAGAACCATAAAACTGAGTTTTAGAGCTGTACCCTCATTTGGAGATAATAGAATGAGTTGCCTAGTCATAAAATCAGAGACACAAACAAAACCCATGAATCAAGTCAAGAAGATCCAGCGTTCAACATCCTAAACTGGAAACAATGTATTAAAAATACATCTGCGCCAGCCTAATAGATGACGAAGGGGTGCGAGGCTGGTCAACAGATAGAATCTGTTTACCCCTTAAGTCTTTGCCTAGGAGGCCTTTTATAAGACAGCAGCCGGATGCATGTGACATCTGCCCAAGATGAGTATTTTTATCGAGACACCATCTCTAGCCTTTACTCAACCAAGAGCCCCAAGGCAGGGGGTGTTTTATGTCGGAGTTTGCATCTCCTAGCCTTTGCCTAAAAAGGCATATCCTACAAGGCAGCAGGACATGAAGCAGATTGTACTGGGTTGCATGTTACCAGTAGCA